GGGCTGAATGACGGGGTGGCAATTTTGGGACTCTTATTTTTGTTTATCTTCTATTTCTTTCGCCCCATGGAGTGCTCGATGATGGCCTGGAGGTGATACCCCTTAGGCTGGGGAGGTGAACTGGGGGTTCGGAACTATGCTGCGTTGTGTTCGTTGGATTTGCTGCTCTCTCGATAACCCTCAGCAAGGGGCCTTGGGTTAGGTGGACTCTTATTCTGCCCATGGTCCAGCCCACAAAGCGATTTTGGATGCTGGAGACCATCATTTGGTTGGAGTATGGGGGCAATGTTCTGGAGATTAGAGTGCCCACCCAGGGTGGCAATGTCAAGACAGGTCGGGGGGAGGGGGGGAGGGGGGGGCGAGTGAGAAAAAGAAAATCAAGCTGGACCCGGCTGGCTGGGGCTGGGAGTGGTTGCAGGCCCTCCAAACTGAGACGACAGGTTTTGATCTGTTCTTTGGGATTCGGGAAACAAGTTCGGGGACACGCCTATTCGCCTCCGCACACTATTGGATAGGGCTGCGTCGGTGCGCCAAGGCGTGTGCCGACAACTGTATACAATTCGAATGTCGCTGCATTGTTTGAATGCACTTGCTCGAGAGGGCGTGGGGGTGCCTGGCCGGCTGGGAGACGTGGAGGACTGTGGCAGGGAGGCTGTGTGCTGTCCACGAGGATGGGACCACGAGGATGGAGCAGCAGTGCCAGAGGTGGGTGGTGGCCTCCTGCGATGGACAGTTGTCAGATGAGCACCAGCCAGGCGGAAAGAAGAAGTCAGTCCTGCAAACGGACCTCTCCAACAATCAACTCGCTGTGGGGTCTGCCGGCGGGAAGGGCGCTTGGCGCCACTGCTTGGCACAAGTGAGAACGGACTGTTTTGGATGCTGTCGAGATAGGAGCCAGGCTTCAATGGGGTGGGGTGGGGCCCCAGACGTGGTTGCAAGGAGCGGAAGACGAGATCCAGAGGAGGGGTGGAAGGACCCAGGGGCGGGACCACCTGCTTGTTTTCCGTTGTGCTTGTGCTTTTTTCCTGTGCTGGGTCATCTGTTCGGAAAATGGATGCTGCAGGTGCCTGGGCTCGGCGACTGGCCGGTGTCCAGGGACCCCCATACTTATGGAGCGAGGGGAGGGAACGATTGTGTTGGGGGAATGTTTGGGAGGGGGGAGACCCGTCCTGGCGCGTGTGGGGGCGGCAAAGGCCGCGGTCGCGGGCCACAAGTCCCTGACAATTGACGATAGTGTGAAACGGATGCGAGAAAGGGATATGTTGCAGGGATGAGACGGCGTCCACCTCCCTGGGGTGCCTTTTTTTGATTGGTGTGAATGTTCGGCGGGATTGGTCGCTTGGAGTAGCTTCGCGATCATTGTGTCAAGGGGCGGGCCAGGAGCCATGGGCCCCATGGCCCGGAGAATGGCGCCTGGGTGCGTGTGTGTGTGTTGGCTTTGAGGCACATCTGACGAGGCAACGAATGTGGAGCATCGGACGTGCCAACTTTTTGTACCCGTTGCACTTCCGAATTGTTTGCATTGACAGTGGGGAGTTTTTATTGGGCAGGGACTGTAACAATGAAAAGCATTCTTGCACCGTGCCTCCTTGGGCGCTGCTAGGCGCCGCTGGGCTGCTCAAAGAGTAGACCAGAGGAATCCGTTCCCTGCATTCTGAAGTAACGGAAGACGGCTGCCTGTGAGCGCGTCAACTCGCAACAGATGTGCACACCCTTTGTGCTGTGGCACAGCGCATGGGGGCCAGTTGCTCACGAGTACGGAGCAGGGGTGGCTCGTCGCGCTCCTGTGAGCAGATGCAGCCCTACTGCTGTTGCGAGGACAAGGTGTTTTGTGCGCGCCCTCCCTGGACGCGAAACTTGTCACGCACTCTACCCAGCCCTTTGGTGCCCGACAGGGCCGCTTCCTCCTCCCATCAGGCGTGTGCCAGAATTGACAATCCGCTGGACACCTTGGTAGCTGGAGTAGGGTCCCCTTCGGCTGCCAATGCGCCCAGCGGCTGAGATCCTCTCAGGGGTCTATCGCCTAGCAACATTCACATTTGAGTTGCTCCTACCCTCGCTGGACTCTCATGGCTGCTTGCGTTCTGCGCCGAACGCAACCATGGGAGCCCAGCGAGGTGGACACTGGCATGCCAGTGGGATTCCACTGCGATTGCACGTGTCCCACTGAGGCTCGGATGACTGTCACGGAGTAGCCCATTCCAGCGGAAGAGTGCTGGAACCTTCGCAACGCTTCGACAGTCCGTACTGGCGATCGGAACAGGACGCATCGCAACCATTTTAGACGGTGCAAGCCCCATATAGAACCCACCGTTGGCAGAAAATGCGCAGAGAATGCAGGTCGTTGTCTCGCCGACGTGCCGGCGGATGGAGCCTGGCAATGTGGTCTCCGCTGGTGCTCCAATTGGGATGCATTCCTCTTCAATCCAGATGGGCTGTAGCTCATCAGTGCGGCAGGACTGCAGCCCATCTGCAGACCCGTATCACATCTTTAAATCGGTCTTTCCGCCATTTAGCGTGCAGGATCCAACTGAGGACAGATTGTTACTTGCAGCGCACCGTCCCGCGCCAATGGTGCGTTTTCCTGCAGCACTGACCTCGCCTTGGATGTCTGCGCGGATCGGGCGGAACGGGCTTGATCCGCTGACTCTCTGAGACTTGGATCTGCCTTGAGTGATTGAGTCACCCTGTCTGTACACTCAGGGTGCACATCTGCACATGTCCAGACCCCAGAAGCCTAGAACCTCTAAGCTGCTGCCTCACAGGGCCGTGCACCCCTTCCGCCAGGGGACCGGGACAGCCAGTTTCCAAGACCTGGGAGGAATGCACGCAGTCCTCTGCCATATCCTGGAGCGGGGTGGCGTTGTATTATTGACATGTCACGGTTGTACAACTTTGCCAAGCATACGAGACCACCCTGGTATTACAGCCGTGGCCACTGGGCGCCCTCCGTTGTGGTCCATTGTATATTGCGCGGTCACCCATAGGAGACGCGTTCAATGGTGTATCTTTGAGTATTCGCTGATGATGCAAGGTTAAGCAATTTGAATCGTCACGGAAATGCTGCGTCGAAAGCAGTTATGACCAATCAGGAAATGTCCCTTTCATTTTGTAAATAGTTATTTCATGGGCAATTGATTCAATTGCAAGGAGGGTGATCAGCATCTTCACAGATGCGAGTCCCTCAAGAGTACAATCTGACAAGGCGTTGATGTATGCTGCGATTGGATATTCTGGTTGGCATATGCCAACTAGAATCCATGCATGGTGTCCCAATGGACACAGCCAACTTCAATCGAGCAGAGCCGCATTCGGAGGCTACTGTGGTGACCCCTGTCCAACACGTGACATCTGAATGCGCCCCTCGTGAAAGGGCTGCTTGGGGCGCGGTCACCGGCTCTGGAGACCTAAAGTGGCGGCAATTCTGCGCCAAGCGTCACTTCGGGGATTTGACACCATCTCGCCAATAGGGATTTCCACAAATGTACATGGGCCATCGCGCAAACCCTGAAGGAGCCGCCGAGCAGCGATTTTCTCTCTCTGCCAAATTTCCTTGCCCCGCTGTTCGCGGGATCGAGCGTGCTCCAGCAAAGCGCCGGCCCACGCTGCCAGGCGACGGTGATGCTGCAGGATGCCCTGCATATGTTGCAGCTTGGTAGCAGTAGTCACGTGAAAACACTTCACGGTGAAGTAACATCGAACGAAGAAACATTCCTCCTGCGCCCGGGCATCGATGATGCGGATGGTGTTACCTCACTGGTAAAGAGACTCACCCTGTAGTACTTTGAGGCAAGGGGACTCACCCCTGCAGTGCTTTGAGGCAAGGGGACTCACCCCTGCAGTGCTTTGAGGCAAGGGGACTCAGGGTGAATGACCACTGGCTGGTGGCATTCTTGTCAAAATTGATGGAAACGGATGCACGCTGGCCGCACGAGCAGTGTGCGACTTGGGTGTGGCATTGGTAGTACCGCACTGGTATTACTGGAAGCACATACTAAGCATGGTCTATGGGTGCTCGACAGTGACTCGCACTCAGAATGAATTTCAAAGTTCGATGCAAGCTGTCCAAGCACATTTGACATCAATTGACAAACAATGCCCAAACACTGCCCCGACATTACCCTCGTGAAGGCAAGGGTCTGCCGCCTTTGATAATGCACATCAATGAGAATCGCTCGGCACATGCGCAGGTCCTGCCTGACCGAAAAGCAGGAAACGTTGGAAATGCAAATGCAGTTCCTGGGCTTGCTCCCGTGATGCCTCCGCCCAAGCGCCGGCATACCACTGCCTTCGAACCGCAAGAAAAGGCTGAAGAAAACACACAAGAGGAAAATTTTCGAAAACGAACAGAAAAGAAACAAGCAAAAACATTGAAAGCGAGAAAGAAAATGAACAAAAATCTTGACAGCAACCACGCTGATATCGCAGCGACTGGTCCATGCTTGACAGATCATCACATCAGGGACATGCCTGTCCGCGATCTCTCTGTATCTCGGTTCCCTCAGCTGTGCCTCCAAGGCCCTCGCCACGCCTGCCTCTGACAAAGTCCCAACCCCAACCTGGCGTATCAGCGCCATTCCGGTCCAATACCCACCCAACACCAACCAAATCCCCATCCACAAAACCCTCACAAAGTCGCGATCCACAAAACTCCAACCCGAGCCACCACACCGTCAACAAACCAGCCCCCCCCCCCCCTTCGCACCCGCCTTCCCCCGTCCACTCTGGCTCCCTCCCTTACTTGGTTGCGCTGCCCCCGCCCGCCGGGGCGCCACCCGCCGCCGATCGTCCTCCTCCTGGGCTGGCTGGGCGCCCGGCGGCCCACCCTCCTCCGCCATGCCTCCCTCTACACCTCCGCCGGCTGCGACGTCCTCCTGCTCCCCCCGTCGGTGCCGTCCTACTGGATCGCCCCCCTCGCCCTCCGGGGGGCAGTCGATGCGCTGAGTGCGCTGTTGGATGAGTTGAAGGCCGGGGGGGCGAGGCCCGTAGTGGTGGCAAACATGTCGGGATCACCGAAGTCGGCGTACTACCGGGCGCTGCACGTGCTGGCGGGGGCGGCAGGAAGGAGGCAGGAGGAGAGGTTCAGGGAGGTGAGGGACTGCATGGCGGGCGAGGTGTACGACTCGGGGCCCGTGGACTTCACGTCCAAGCAGGTGGGTGGGCGAGCTGCCTGAACCGAGACCTGGACAGGTGTCCGAGCGCGCTTTTGCTTGACTTTCTTTTTGCTTTCTTGGGGTAAAGAAAGGAGAGGATCTCCTACCTATGGTGTTGCGGCAAAGATGTGCATGTCACTGTCCGTGCTATACCCACAGTACATTACCCTTCGACATGTTTCATGGCAGTGTTCTAGGGGGTAAGAATTGTTACAAAGAGAGAAAGAAACGGGCCATGCAAAGGGCACCCACTCCATACGAGGTGCATGCAAGGCTCGTTTTCCGCTGCGGAAAGATCATATGGGGTCTCTGATGCGAATTGAGGAGCACACACCGCGAGCAATGCAGAAGGCAAGGATATGTGAACTCGGGGGGCCACGTGCAAAAGGTGGAGAATGCTGGTAGTTTCTAGGGGACGTCTGGTTTCTTGCTTTCTAGGGGGGTAAAATCTGTTGCAAAAGAGAAAGAGAAACAGGTCATACTAAGGGCACCCCCTCCCAGGCAAGTGTATGTGAGGCTCTGCTCCATGCCATGAAAAGATGATACAGAGCCTCCGAAGCAAAGATGAGCACACAACACAAGCAAGTCATAGGCAAAAAGCTTTCTAGGGGGTGCCCAGTGGTTGGCGTCTTTCTGACCTCTGTGGTGGGTGTTCGAAGCAGGTGGATGGGGTTGAGGTTGTGATTGGCATCCCCGATTCCGATTGTTGCTGTGGTCTTGCTTTTGGGGTTGGTCTCTTTGGTAGTCACCAGGTGCTGAACACCAGAGCGCAAACCACCGAGAAGACTGCTGTGTCACGAAAAAAGGGTGGTATTGCCCATCGCCATTGAATGACATTTACCAAGCTCAGCAAATGCGAACAATGTGGTGCATCTGCGTACAGCTGCTCAGAATGACACCTATCTTGTGCTATTTGCTTTGTTGGGACTGGGCACTATGGTCCAGATGCCCTTGTTGTCGCTATCCCTGCAAAGGGTGGCAACTTGTTGCCTCAGGCTTTAAGGATTTATGCTGGAGCAAAGCAATACCGAGGTTGCTTGGAAACATGTTGCAGGCTGGAGCTGTTAGCTGTGATGCAACTGACTAGGCTGTCCATTCAAGATACAGAACAAGTGCCCTTGTGGTCCGGTCGGCTTGTGGGATGTATGCATAGGTGGAAATGACCTTGGCATGTGCCCCTCACTTTCCTGACTGCCGATATCTCCCAATAGCCGTGAAGGGCGGTGCTGTGTCACATCCCATGCTCAGGCATAATGGCCAGGGCACAGTCTCAAGAACAATTCTGCAGTATACCCATATCATGACTGGCACGTGGTCCAATTGTATGTTGCATAGCTGCTACGGATATAAAGCGGGGTTCTGTATTCCCTTTCATCGGCCCTGACTCTGGGAAAAAGCATACTCACCCTTGCCCAACCATCTTCCATCGAAACAGGGTGTGATGGCCCTATCAAGCCAGAAGGGTGGCCTGATGGCTTGGCTGGTGAACTCTGGTGTCGAGACTGTGGCCTGCACCATGGACTTCTTCTTGGTGGAGTGGCTGGAGGCAGACCGCCGGCGCTACTGGGACACGCTGCGGAGTAGTCTGGTAAAGGGCCCAGCACTGTTCCTGTACTCGGAGGCAGATCCCTTTGTGGACGGCGAGAGGGTCAGGGACCTGGCGATAAGAGTAACGGCTTATTATTCAAGTCAAGCAATAACCTTAAACAATAGTAGCATTGAACATTATGTTTGGGGATCCAGATGTAAATCTTGTTCCATCTTGTTGTGTTTTGCTCAAGGGTTGTGTTTTGGGCAGAGAAGATAAGTGTTGTTCCTTGGGTGCATCTCCTTCAGAGGGATTGCGATGTATGATTGGAAGCTGCTTGCTTCAGGTTGAACATGTTGCAAAAGATTATGCAAGTGTGTGCTTGTTTAATTGCACTCGCAACATCCCAGTTTCCGCGTTTTTGCTTTGTCTTTTCTGCCTGCCACAAGTCGTTTGGCATTCCCTGCCCTGTTGAAGTCGTTGGCTGCATCGTTCCACATTTTCCTAATCAGTTGTTGCGCTGTTCATACCACAAGCACACACAGGTTGAAAACGAGAAGGATCACCAAAAAGCAGCAGTGGTACATAGTAGTGGACAGCAACAGATAGTCACAGTAGATGTGGGCATCTCCGTGTGCGCGTTGTTGGTGAATATGATGAGTATAGTAGAAAGTGGTAGTGTTGTCATGCAGTGGACCATCCCATCTTTACAAGAATACATTGGGACCTTATCTGTGTCAGAACATTTGTTATAAATGTCCAAAATGATAGCAATACTGCAGTATCAACAGTGTATTAGTGTACCAGCAGCTGTTGCGCACAGCAAGCACACCCTCCTGCTGCTTCACATTGTCTCAGGACTTCCTGGGGAACACAAAATAATTTGGCTGATGTCGTGTTGACGCATTGGACAGGGATCACCCTGAGGAGTACACAAAAATAGTGAAGGAGTTTTTGCGGCATGCGTGCCAGAGGTGGCTGAAGTCCAGTGGCCAGGAAGGGAAATGGGACTGGCCATTATTGAAAGATGGCGAAGCAGGGCACTCAGCTGCTGACAATTTGTTTGGAGGTGCGTGCATATGGTAGGAAGCTGGACAGCTGGTGCCCTCAAAATCGTCGAGATGAGAGTTAAAAGTGTGTCATTTACTTGAATGAATGAACGAATGCCACTTTTCCGGAAACATCCAACCTGATGATACAAGGTCTATCCCAGAGCAATTTCGCAACTGGTATGCTTCCAAGGTTGAAGGCTGCGTGGCTTTGTGTCAGCAAAGAGGTTTCTGTTGGCTGCCCTGCTTCCTTGTTGACGACCATCTTATTAGCATGGAACATCATGTTTTTGGGACACGTGCTGCCTCCGATGGGTAATGTCCAGGAGACACTGGCCACTGTTTGGTATATTGAGCTGCTATCGTTTTGACAACAGTTTGTGCAGTGCTGTCTGCCAGTGCTCATGTTGATTGATTCACAACTTGATGGTTTCACAGTTGCGTGCCCCCAAAAAACACAAGGATCATGCTTGCATAGATAGCCTGGGGATCTGTGTGTGTCCCTTGCTACATATTGTTCAATCGTCAGTGCCTATGCTCTGCACAGCAGTCAGAATCTCAGTGGCTTGAATGCAAGATTGATGTTGAACGTGGGGGGGGAAACACAACCAGATCAAGTCAGGCCATAGCTGATGCTTCGTGCTTCATGATGTCCAAGCCTTTCTGGTCATCACTGCAACTTGACAGTGTTGCTCACGCTGTTCAGAGTTGACCAGTTTGATGTGGAGCAGAATGCTGATTGTTGGGACCAACCCTCCTGGGGTGCACTCCCCCAGTGGAAGCTAGCCTTGCAAGATGTCCAGCTCACCAACATGCACCCATCAAACGCGTGTATGCAGTATGTAGTGCTACACAGCAGCATCGCACCACAGCACTACAGTACATGCCTGACGCACATCCTGCCTGCAGCAACATATCACCTGTTGCACTGTCAGCTTGGATGATTGCCTGAATCTGAAAATGAGAGCACCAGTCAGCCATTGGAAGCCATCGATTTCACACGCGTTGTGCTTGTTCTGCAGACGACAGTGCAGTGAAAATGGTGCCAGCATCTGGGGGACCGCAGCAGATCACTTGGCGCAGGAGTCGCTTGTGACAAAAGCCACTCGCGTGCCATTGACATACCGACAGACCAATTTGGTTGCTGGAGGCACCCAGAGCCAGCGCTTCCCACCTCTCACACTTCAGTCATACAGAAGACCCTCCCAGGGAAGTTGTACTCCTATAGTGCAGCCCTGTCCCAGTGCAAGCACAGCACAGCTCATTTTGTGCCGACACTGTGTTCCCAGCAATCCCCCCATTGCACAGAGTACCTCGGGTGCTGGGGTCCTGGGCGACATGCATCCCAAGCAGCATGGCCACATGTGGGGGTCATGAGGCTTTGGCCTGCCAGCTTCACACCTGTCCACAGAGCTCGTCAATTCAAGCAGGGTCCAACCTGAAGAGTTGTCACAGGTTCTGGGCAACAGTCCAAGCCATCCTTGGCAGGCTGCCCTGCACAGGCATGCGCTGTCCGTATCTGTTCTTGTTTGGCAGCTTGGGTTCAGTTTTCCTGGCTCTGTCTGAATTGGCCACCATTCCGAACTTGCTTGAATGCTTGGCCTTGCGGGAGCAGGTTTCGGCCGTTGGTTTTGGACTTGTTGGTGCTGGCATCCTGGTTGTCTGTTGCGGAGTGCTGTAGCTACCTGTTGTGATTGTGCACCCGCAGAAAGAGTCGATCTGAAGTTAATACAGGGAACATGGTTGTAGATAGCTGACTGGTGACAGGCATCAATGGCCTCCCAAAGGGATAGACAGAACCTCTGGAACGAGTTGATGGCCACAATATGCCATCTGCCATATTGCTCCTCGTCACTGTTAAAAACATATTCAATTCTCATTGGGGCATCCCCTTGCATACAAATTTGTCTGGAAGCTGTTGCAGTGCACTGGATCGCACTGCATTGAATACCTGGGCATTGGGACGTCCTCAGTGCGGCAAACGCTGCATTGTCAGGACGCTGCCTTTGGCATCAACGTTCGCTCCCAAACTGCGGCAACCACACTTTTCTTTCCTTCCATTCGTCCTTCCAATTGCCAGTGCTGGATCTCCGTCCATTGATTGGGCCTACATCGGCTGAGCCCATTGAGCAGAATGGCTCAACCACAACCACACCACTACCTGGGACGGTTGAACTAGGGTCTCGTATCCAATTGCCCTGACTTGGTGAGTGCTATCAGTTTCTGCTGGAGACCATCAACAGCTTACTGGACTGTGCAATGCCTGAGTTGTGCACTAGTGCACAGCGGTGCCCATCTGATTTATCACTCTCTTGTGGTCTGTCCAACTGGGCGGAAACGACCGTCAACTGGCTCCACTATGCCAAACAAGCGATCATGCGGACAATCTGGCATCGGCACAAATCGCGACATACTACGACCCCAAAAACCCCCCCTGCTTCCTGCATTTCAGCTACAATAAAGACAACACTGCCAAGTGAAAATGGTCTTCTTTCTATTCTGCTCTCTTTCCTTCCGCTTCTGTTGTCAGGCATCACAATTTATACACATGGCCATCAAAGCGGCACTGAAATTGCGTCGTTCGCTTCGGGCATGCGCAATGGAAAATGGACAAGAAACAGCATGCACCAGCACCCAGCACCACAAAGCGAGTGTTGGATCCAGGACAGAGCACTTGGCCGTAGATAGCATGCATCGGGCCGAGCTGCCAGCCACATTTCTTCACTACGTTTTGCCCCAATCCACTCTGCACTCTCAGCAGAAAGACAAAGCACTGATTCTACCTTGGTGGAATGCATTATGTATCCCTCCCATACCATGCTGGTGGGTGTGCATTCAAGTTCTCTTGGTTTCATGTGCTCCATTGACGAACCTCCGACGAACCTCCTTGGTTTAGGTTCAGTGCATTGAGTCTGGCACCTGGCAGTTTTCCAATTTGCTTTCTGCTCTCTGGCACACTGCCCTCTGGCTACATGCCCACCCAGGCCACATGCAGCGAGTCACCGACTACGTCAGGCACTGCAGCATCATCGATGTTAGCCCAACAGCGGGTGTACCCTTCAAGCTGCCACAACCCCCCTACTGCACCTGGCGGTCGTCCTTCGCAGCTGCCTCCCAGGCGTCAACCCAGCTTCAACAGCCCCCACAGCCTTGGTGCCACCCACAGCTCTGCTCGTCCTACAGGGCCTCTTTGGTGGGGGTGGACACATGTTGTCCATCAATCCCATTTTATCACATCCCTGATGCTGGAGCAGGCGCGAGCCAGCACCTACCAGAGCACAGCCAGCACCCAGGCGATCAGGGGCTTTGCTCTGAGGCGAGAAGACCAGCTCCTTGGCAACGGGCGCAGTCAGCTGCTTGCAGCTCCTCTTCAGTCGCTCTGCTGCAGGCTCGACCCTGTCAGGATCCCTGACGTCCTTGTTTGTGCCTTCCTGTCTTGTCATGTTCTCGTTGTCCACGTCCCCGGTGTCAGCAGGCACCTGGGCACAAGATGCCACCGACATGGCCGGCAGGCACACCCTGCCAGGCCACAGAGTGTTAGGCTGCGTTGGAAACTTTCTTGAAGCAATCGACCCGGATGCAGGCCAAAGAGCTGTCAATACAGTGCTCTGGATAGGGCCTGTGCAGCAAAGCTGGAATGCATTGCAGAGTTGGAGCCCTTGCTCTGGAGCGAGACTGTGTGGGACCCTTTTCAGCACTGGACAAAAGCTGTTTTGGGACCCAAGGGCGCCACTGTCAGCTCCTGCTGTTTTCATGCAACTCTCTGCTGCGTTTGGCTATTATACATCGGTTGGCTTCACTGGCTGCGAAACACTATGGACATACCACGGATGGGGCATGGCTCGTGTTGTCAAAAACTATGTATCAAAGGGATCCCAATTTCAATGGAAAACTCTCTCTGTTGTGTGCTATCCATGTCCCACTCTGAGGCCTCTGAGTCCCTATACTTTCTTTGGAGGTGCTCATTGAATGGTATGGTTTCTTTCTACTTTCAAGACATCAGCGGCTATTGAATCCTTTAGATGGAGGCGCCTGTGAGTGCAGCAGTGAAAGCATGCAACAGCATGGTGGTGTGTCAACACCTGAATGGATGCAATCAATTACTTCGAGAAGCACATTGACCAACACATCAAGTACGCTGTGTAGCAGTTTCATAGCGGAGTCAGGTGGTGTACCGCCTTTTGCAATGTCAGGTATGCGTGAATCCAATTTGTTTAATGTATGAAATAAATAACTTATATAAGTTGTTTATTATTGTATCAAGCTCACACTGTGCCCTGCGCCTGTTGCTGCTGCAGGGGTGAAGGCTGACACTTTTCACAAGAACAGTAGGGAAGCCATCAGACGAGAGAAAATTGTTCCTGGGACTCAATGTGCAGCTGGCATAGACCACTAAATGCTGTAATACAGACCATGGTAATTGAGTGATTCAAAAGGGCATAACACAGTTGTGCCGATGTGCAAAGCAGCAAAAAGGAGTAGAACGGCGTGTGGATTGGTTGTTGGCCACATGCTCTGGGAACGAGCGTCTGCTCACACAGAAACCCAAAGAGTGGCAGTCGACCATGCCTGTTTTTCCAATTCAGGACCTTGCACAAGTTTCGTAAGCTTTCAGCACGATTAATGGTTGCATAGACCCACAACGGCTAAGTGGAGGCCAAACTCTGTGCCTTGTTCGCGAGTTACCACAGTGCGTTGCCGCAAACAACTCTCTTCGAGGGTTGTGGCTGTGCAGCATGGTACTGGCCGCGAGTGAGTGAATAGGCAACACATCAGGAATTGTAAAGCTGGCTGCAAGCTTTGCAGGTAGACTATGCTGAGAATGGACAGTGGCATACAGCAGAAACAGGGTTGCTGTTTCTAAACTGAAAAGGGAGTTGTGTTTGGTATTCGGTTGGACACAAAGGTGTGCAAGACAATAACACCTTCTGGTACCAACAAATACCTGAAAGCGAATTGCCTTCAGCATACTCATTGCCCTATGTGAGCCCTTTAAACACGAGGCGCAAGTGGCAACGATGATGAGGACAGAAATCTGCAGAATAGACGTGTGTGAAAATGGACCTCGCAACAGTTTGTGTTGTGGATGGTGCCTGTGCTTGCAGGTTACTGACAGGTAGAAGCCTTGGGACACCACTAGCCAGGAAAACTGTGGGGCTCACGACTCTTTTTGAAAGTGTATCCTTGGAATCAGAAAAAGAAGAACCGAAAGAAGCGTGGGACCATTCAAGCACTTCCTATCTTGTCTTACCTGTGGTATATCACAAAAAGAGCAAGCAAAAGAAAAGGGCGCAAATTAACTATCAACGCTTTTGCTGACCGTTTGCACCAGCACAAGTTGCAGCAGACAAGCATCATACCTCCTGCCCAGCCTCGCCCTCTGTGCATTATCCAGCTGCACATTCATGAATGGCAAGGAAGCCTTGTGGCATCCCAGAGGCGTTGTGAAATTCAACTTGAGACTCTGCCCAACAGCACATAACGAAAACATTCAAACAAAAGAAGAAAAAACGGGGCCCATCAGTGCCTTAGTGTCTGCTACTACATATGCTCAACAGCTCCCATAAACAATCTCTCGAATGCCTTAAACGAGCCTTGTGGATACTCCAACAAATTTTGCTACCATGGGAATTTAACGACGCATCAATTCCCCAATGGCACAAGCGCCCCCCACCGAATGGTCCTTGAACTCCTGGAGCTCATCTCTGCCAATAAACCATCAATTCCTCCATCCACGGTGGAATGCTGACTCCAGGTAGGCCAAACGAACAAAAGGGATCTAACTCCCACTGGAAAATAGCTGGTTCGACAGCAACCATTCCCAGAGCCTCAGGAGTGCAGAGGAGGTTGATGCTTTCAAAGGATTGAGTGCAGGTGTTGGAGGCAGAACTGAGTGCACGTGTGAGAGGTAGCGCGGAGTGCTCTTGCCCTTTTAGGTAAGAAGGGGCCAATATGGTTTCAATGATTTCAGCAAGCACGCACAATGTATTGGGTCAGTAGGAGAAACAGGGGTCGAGAGTGAAGTTGTGGAGGCCTGGCTCCGCCACTAGCAGACTACGGTTTTCAAACTACAGAAGAAGATTGTCCTATCAAAGCATATGATCAAATTGAACAAGTTCATCATGCTGTGTTACAGGAAGTTGCTGAAGTTCCTGGGAAATTTGTGATGGAATCTTTTGTTACATTTGGGTGTCAATCTCGCTTGTTGCGCCTAGACATTGCTGTGAAAAGGGCATTTGGAGGACAAGGATTAAAGAGATGTGAGTGTGAGTATCTGCCTATGACATCAAATGATATGACAACAGATGCCCTCGCGGTGCTCTCAAATGCCAAACCATGTGTTCACTTGCTATCACAGGAAAATCCAATAACACTACCCTTCTTCTTATGGTTCGTCAGATTAGTGGCAATTTGTTAGGCAGGGTTTCGACCACCACACCTTGACCTCTGAAGCCATGGCGGCTTTTTCAGCCCTCAGTTTGGAAACCGCCCTCGTTGCTGCTGTAAGGTCGACCAAGGATGCATTCAGACGCGCACGGTAGCTCTGGAGTCAACACAGCTGGGTGATTTCGTCTATTTGCTTGCACAAAGTCACTGTGGCATGGAGCAAGGCCTACATAGCTCAGAAACAAGCCAGTTCTTCACGTCGTTTTGCAATCTATCCAAATGACAAGTGGCAGTGATGAGTTCCAAAGATCTCTGCTGGTACTGCTTCATTGCATGATCACCACCTCCCTGCTTGGGAGAAGTGCCTGGTCCTTGCCTTAATATTGATTGCAGCATCCATTCGATTTCTCTGGCCATGTGCAAAACATTTGACGTTTCGATCCATGTCTGCCTAGATTGACATACTATGCTCAACATCGACAAACTATGCGCCAATGGGCCAGTGCATGTCCACCATTTGTAGGGCATTTGAGTCACAAGCACATCATATGGCAAACTGCTGTGGAGAAAGGCAGAGAGCAACGCAACTTCTGGAGGACTTCTGGTGAGTGGTACCAAATGAAGAGGTGCAGATCGAGTGGCACAATACAGATACAACTGTAAGTTGTTGTACAAAACAAGAGGAACCCAGCAAACGCGGTTGCTGTGGAAGTTCCCATGCATCACAATTGGAAAAACAAGACAAAATGCAGTCTGTTCACCTATTAGGATATATTGGGAACACGACTGCTGCTGGGCACTGCCTGGAACGTGTTGGAGATTAACCATCAATACAGGAAATCTAGCCAGAGGACTTGTGGGGGCTCAGCCAGCTGCTTCTCACCCCATACTGCTTCTTGCATACCCCAAGAAGTACAGTAAATTTTAGATAGAAATACACCCAGAGCGATGCAACACAGTACACAATTTACAAGTAAGATATTGCCACTCTCCTCAACTCAACCTCTTGTGAGATGGTCGAGTGGACCAGATGTGACCCAAACCTACTGAGCCTGCATGCTGACTCAAAAATGATGCAACAAGTGGCTTTACCATGCTGCAGCGATATGCTATTGATTGGTGAACACTGTAATGGCTCATCTCTTCTTGTTAAGAATGCAATCTTTTTACCTCATTCTGCCGCTTTAACACATCGTTTTTTGCACTAATGAGGTCTATCTTGTGGTGACACAGGTCACAGTTGGCAGACTCCTTGGCTGACTGCTGCTTCCAGCGCCGTGCGAGCTGCAACGACAGGGAAAAGCCATTTCAGAAACGCCAGTGTGGTACTCCAGGATTGCTCTACCACAAGCTGGAGAGCAATGCATAGTGCACCTTCTGAATTCCATCACTTGCTCTGGCTCAAGGTGAGCGATGCCGACCCCAAGTGGGGGATGGAAATTGCCTGAACGAATTGGTGGACTCACAGGACACAGAAAAGCATGGGTTATCACCAAAGGTTGCCTGGTTTTGATTCTCCTTGTATTCTGATGAACAGCAGTGCACCCAAAGCATGCCTCACACATATTTTCCATTAGATGGCAATCTGGTCCATGGCGTCACAAAAATGGCATCAAATGGTGGTACAGAAAGTGGTACAATGGTATAAAACAGCAGTATGAGGAATATGGTACAACTGCCCAGTGCAAAAACTGTTGACAGCAAGCAACAACAATAGAGAATCATGTGTCCTTGCAGGGCGTGGGTTGCTGTCTGGACTCACCTTCAGTTGTAATCGGCAAGGCACAATCTATGCCAACACACACTGTGCAGAGCAGCAGATACACATTATGTGTACATCATGTCCATGCTCAGCTGGCGCGAATACAGGATCAGGTGTTGCTGACTCAGCTATCAGATCTTCTGAAAGGTCCGCAAGCTGCAAACCCATAACTTGTGGGATCAGCAGCAAGCTTATATTGTGTGATTCAGGCTGCAAACAAAGATCTTGCTTGGTTGCACATGAGCAAGACTGTGTTAGTGGTATCTGTTTTTGCGACAGTTGTGCATAAGGCAATGTTTTGATTGAAACATGAACGTGTTCATGTCTGAAGCATCGATGGATCATGTCCAGGGACCTGAATAGACTGTTGTCCTAAAGGTGGTAAGTTTAGGCAGCGAACAATGCAGCCAGAGCAGGGCGCTTGTATGCGAAACAAGAGCTGTCGGTAACAGGATTGTGCAACAGAGAAGAAGCCTTGTCCTCAACTCCACATCTGCACCATGGTGTGTAAACCCTTTGGTTGTGATTCTGCAAAGGGACACAGCAGTGCCCGAGCACCTTCAGGGAGATGTTGGCCAGAATTCACGTGCAGATTTTCTGAATCTGTGTCACCACTGTCTGCCACTTTAGCTGAACTCTTGAAGATTCAATTTCACGAATCTGGGCTGACTGATCCACTGTGGTGACAGGACAACAGCTGTGGTGCACGTTGCCTGACATTACCTCACACTTTCAAGGGCAGGCTGGTCTGGTATCACTGGTGTTGCTGCTGCCAAGTTCCACAGTTTGCATGTCCTCAGCAAGATTCTCAGATGTTTTCCCTCGCTGTGATTTGGACGCATTCAGGTGTTCCAGAAAAGCATTCATCGCTGAGTGAAAAGCACAACAGCTGCAACATCCCATGAGAGTTCCCGCCAGAAGCCCCTTACCGCCTTTGCCTTTTTCAAACTCTCCCTGGCGCGCTTCAGCTCTGCCTTCAGGATGTGGCATTCGTCTTCGATGGCCTTTTGAGAATCGTTTCCTCCTTTCTGCACCAGCAGCCCATTTGCAACTCAGGCAATAAGGCTCCACGCACAATTTCTGCGAGCCCCATGTTGCACAACGCATTCCACGTCGAAACCCAGCGCCGTTTGCCAAGCAACTTTTGCTTGTACATCAAATATCCACAACAGAGTGCACATTTCGATTTGCGGAAGGTCACTTATACTTTCTTGAACTCCTGGCCCGCATATGATAACTCAAATAAGCTCGCCACACCATCGAGCACAAAGAACTTATGTCCAAGCACGATCAGCCTAGCTGTGAGGCTCGCATCCAGTTTGTACATTAGTGTTTTGCTCAGATCGTTGGCTTTCTAACGTTTACCGCAGTAGTGCACACTCACTACACACTTATTGCACCCTAAAGCCAAACAGAAAAGTACTATAAATCTACACTTGCAGCCAAAAGGATAACAGCATCAACACACAGTCTGTGAGGTTGTTGTCCCCAAGTGAATGCCAGTTCCAAGTGCCACTGCTGACCTGGGAATTCTGCAAGAGTGCGAGTATGTGCACCTTCATCAGGCCATTCTCTTCTTGTGTTGTCACCTGCCAGGCCACAGTTCGTTTTTCAGTACAGTGGTTGAAAATAGCCTCACACCTGTCGTCACGAAGGGATGTGGACTGAATGCACGGTTTCCAGTTAACCTCCAACCCAACACATCATCCACAGCACAAACAGAGAGCTCAACAATATCTAACAGGACAACATGAAAGAATGAATGCGGCCTTGACAGAAAACAGTCAACCAAGTACAAAGCTAGCCTCTCCTAGCATGCTATCACAACTGGTCATTCTCAAAAACTGCATATTGTTGGAGTCAGCACACACAAGGCATGTCCAACAATTCTCTGAGCAAGTCCTGGACGAAGCCATCACCTCAAGAGCAAATCCCACATTATCGGATAACAGGACATAATGTTGGATGCTTGGGACCACACGAAGCGAGTCGAGGTTCATCGAATACAGAATAAGACAATAGGACAGCATGGGAGACAGTGATTTTCTTGGAAGGAATCCAATGGAGTTTGCAAGAATGTTCTCGTCTCTGCTGCAATCTGTCTTTGTTGCACTTGGAGACTGATACACCATCTTCAGACAATCGTCTTCCAAACTCATTTTCCAACCATGTTCCAACAATCATCTTCAATAATCTTCCTAAAGCAGCATTGCAGCCTGGAGGTTGATAGGGAGGGGTGGCACTACCGATGGGGAGAGACAATCGTTCCAAAACCATGCACAGCACAGTAATGTGCCAGCGAGAGCGCCGGAACTTGAATTGGCACATGAAAGGTGAACACCAGACCATGCACTAATAATGCTTGACGTTTGGAATGGTTGAGAAAATGATCATGGCAGTGACCAGTTAGTGGCAGCACATGCCAAAGTAAGCCAAGCCAGAGCTGAGAATGCTGCGCACACGTGGTTGCTAGGACCAGACAAGGCCGAGGTAAGGAAATGCTGTAAGTGAATTAATGGCAAAGCCTCTGAGGCTGTGAGCAGAATGATCAGCATCAGCACCATCCACCTCATGATCGGGCCCCAATGCCAGCAAGTTTCCTTCTCAGCAACAGGCTTTTGCTGCGCAAAGTTTCGGAACCGGGATGGCCTTCTGTATCCGAGTCTGGCACCAGAATCTGTTCTTGCCGCGAGTCTCAAATGGATGCACATGAGTGTCAAACGCTGCAAGGTTGGCTGGAGGAAGGACTTTCCAAATATTTCTACCCTTCTGCGCTCCGCTGGCATCTGACACAAACCCCATATCTGCGGCAATCCGATTACCACAGCAGTGTTTTTGCCGAGGAGGCCATTTGCATACCCAAACCCCCAAAACTAAACGACCAACAGCATTGGAGCTTCAGCAACAAAACCGAAGCATTAACACATTATATCAACTATCCACCCTACCAGCCTACCCCGAGGCGAATCAAGCCACCACTATCCATATCGCCTCATGAATGTGGCCACACCACACTGCCTCAATTTTTTGCATTTCCAAGCACAACAATGAGATGCCTGCGTGAGGAAAGTCGACCTACTAATAAGAACTGAAAGTTTAGCTGGACAGACACGGCGCGGTCCTTGCAAATCGCCCACAAGGCGCAAGGTACCGCTTTGTTTCTCGAAGGAAATTTTGGCTAAGGTATTTGGCACGTTCTCCTATCAGCATCCGGGAACGGAGAACGAAATATTGACCGGGGGGGCGCAGCGATTGTATTGGAAGCGCTTGTGGCCGCCGCCGCCTGCCAGCCGCAAGGATTCTCCTTCGTCTTGCTTGAATAAAAACGCCCCCCAAAAGAAACGCAGAAAAAACGCACAAAACAGCAAAATAGGGGAAAAACGACAGAATCCTAGCAGTCCGCATTGATCCTACTCACCCATCTCGCTCGCAAGTCATCCGCCCTCTTCACCTGCGGGCGCCACCGTCAATCCGGGTGCCATCCTGGGAAGGCCTCGAATCAAAAAGGCGGCCATCGGTACGACGTGGATGATCGATTCCAGGCGAGCGGATGCCAACGAGCATGGCCGGTAGCGGCATCGCGACCCCGCTTGGCCCCGAAAAGGCAGCCGCACAGACAAGAACGCTGCGATCCAATGCTGAAAGCACGGGCTCGTCGCGGCCAAACTGGTCGTTCTAAAACCAGCCCTCCGGAACTGATTGCTCGAGTACCGCGCGAGGCTCCCAACGAGGCCAGCGTGCTGGGGTTCCAAATGGAAGGACAAACAAACAGAAAAGAAGGAAAAACAAGAGAGGAGAAGGAAGCGGCATTGCGCCCTTTCCGAAATCGAAACGCCGGGGCCTCACCTCGCAGCCCTGCCCGCCGGTCGGCTCCCGCCATTGGGATGTTGGCGGACCATCCGGTTGGCGGGCCGGCGCACTTGTCAGCGGAGGCTCGGCGGCCGGCGCGTCGACTTCCACGGCCTCCCGCGCCCGTTTGCGCGCGCCCGAGGCCTTCTGATCCATGGCGGCCACCGGCAGGGAGGGGCGCGTTTGGCTGGGCGGGAAGGGCACCGATGCTGGGGGTGCCAGAAACCCGCCAGAAATCACCTCCGATCTGGTCACCTGAATCAATCGCTGCGCGTGGGGACAAATGGGGGTCAATGGCAATGCCTTCTTGTGGTGACTCAGGCGGATGCGCATTCCGGCGGCCTGGAAACTGCTGGGCCGCGCCCTCCAACACGCACGCCCCCACCACACACTGTATACCTACACACCCATCCACCCAAAGAAAACACCGCCGCGGACTTCCAAGGCGTCAACCCTCGTCGCTCCTCACCCGGCCATGTGATCTCCACTTGGGTTTGCTGAGTCCCTTGTTTATAGTTGCCTTGGACTTGCAGACAAACGTGGGAGGATACTTGTTCCAACTTCAACCAATTCCTCCGAACCTCCATCCCAAATTAGGCGCCGAATGGCCGCGGCAGCCCTTTTTCGGTAAATTGGGGACTGTGGGCGTCCCTAAACGCTGCTGTTTTCGTCTTCCTCCGGAAAGAAGCACAGTTAGTTATGTTGGGAGCGCAAGTCCCAAGCATCCCGCTGGGTTGCTTTGACAAGCCGGATGTCGTCATGCCTCGCATCAATTACTACCACCGCCGCAGAAAATAACTGCTTTTCCACTGTCATGTAAGAGAACAACTTCACTACCGCAGACATAAAAGTAACCGTTTGTTCAGATAACATAGGGAGCTGACAGCTGCCTCATTACCTTCTGTTGTAAAATGAATGATGATGATGGCGATGATGAGTTCCAACACGCGACAGATTGGACAGATTCTTCAAGCCACAACCCCAGCCACCCCCTAACCGCTTTGCCTCATCATCGCAGGCGCCAGTACCCTGCAGCCACAATGGCTAGGCCCTGCTTGGGCAGCGCCGCTGGCCTCATGGCCAAGGCCCAGGGAGCCACGGGAGGCCAGATCAGTGCACAGAACACCCCGAGGCAATGAGTCACGCCACTTGAGCGGAGCATTGCAAACGCTGCTGCACGCACTGCCAACAACGTTGCAACTTGCCTGGAATGTTGCTAAAGCTTTTGGGGAACACATTACCTGCTGTGGACGCATGGCTTGGCTGGTTTGGCATGTAGCCGCGTTTGGCGGCAGTTCGCTTCTACCTCTGCACGTCCCATATGCTCTTCTCGGTGCCATGCACCTATGCCTGTGCCATTGTGCCGAATCTAAGTCGCGGTAACCAGCGGCAAAAGGGCCTTTCAGCCATTGAATGTGTTGATGTGCAACGGCATCGCGCTTCAACGTGAAGGACGCCATTGCACTTGCCCCATCTGGTAACTTTGCATGCGGCAATTGCAAGTGGTGATTTGACAGCTCCCCTGTGACAGTTCTGCAGTGCTTTTGGTGTTTCACCGTCCCTTTTGTCCAGACTGCAATGTCTTGTAAGTCGTAATTTGCCCGGTGCATGTAGCAAACGTTGCCCAAGGCTGACGTGCACATCTGAAGCATTGGCCACATTGCTGCTCGCTGCAAGAAATGGCCACTGTGATGACGTGCACGGCGAAGGGTGGGCCAGGCAGCCCCGAGAAAACAGCACCACAAATTGGGGCATCTTGGTGCATTGCTCTTGAACATCTATGACTGTTGAGTCTCAATTTGGAAGTGATGCATGTGTCGCTTCCTCGGATCTTGGCTTCAAAAGTTGCGAGCAGAGCTGCTCACCCTGGGGACGTCAGCGATTTCAAATTTCGAGACGATGCAGGCAGGCATTCCATTAGATGTCCTCATGGTCAAAAAACTTGACCTTCTTCACATTGCAGGATGTGGAGCAGAAGTCCCGCAGGAAGCATGTTACAACGAATCCAACAAAGAACGAGAAAGCAAGATGTCATGCATGAACGACCAGAACTGGGTGGGGTGACAAGAACATAGTATGTAGTATCTGTTCAATGTGGTATGTGTTGGAGCTGCCACTGATTGCTCATATGCCAGGGATATTCATATAAGGGTGAGAAGAGGCGTGCCCAGTACTCAGGTACTGCTATGTGTGTTAGAAATGCAGTTTCATTCCCGAAAAAGTTGCTGGCAGGGCCGCATCCTGCTACTGCTATGAGGGTGGCCGTCTATCTCCTGCCATTGCCATGGCGTTGGCACAGAACGCCCTGGCTCCTTGAAGGATGGGCAGGCGAGCGAGCGATACAGCAATTATTCCATTGAAACTGATGCTCACAGCCAATCTGTTTTTCTTCCGCCCATCTTCCCACCAGGCGAACTGGGCACTTGCTGCACGTACATTCGTTTCTTGATCAGGATATTTGGATGCCTCCGCAACACCTCGACTCGCCGGTACAGCGTCCTGCCTTTGGCAAACGCCGGCCTGGCATGGATTTCGTCTTTCGATACCCAAACACAATCGCCAAATCAATACTTTGCCACCAGTACGCTGGTTCCAGACATCCCGAAACATGGGTGCCCATTCGGTACCGTTGTCTGCTCGATTGTTACCCACCTGTTTTACCAGGGCAGCACGGTGCATTCATATTGTTGGGATGGCGAAATCAACCTCGCAATGGTATGCACCACTGCGAGTCAACAGTGAAGCCCGTCCAAGTGTTTCATCTTCATTCGCACAGTTCCACGCTGCCCTCGCACTCCTGAAAGACCCTTTGCCAAGGCCAGGGACGTCCCTGCCAACTTGTGCCGGAATGCGCAGCTTGCAGCTGGCGCGCATGCAGAAGCTGAATCCAAATCAAGCAGCTTAGCCTTACTGGAGTGCTGGTCGTGTCCCTGTTAGTTGATGTGCCGGTTCACTGCGCTCTGGCAGAACATCCAACCGCGGCAAATGTGTTCTCGAGCCGACCCAGGGGTGTTGCCCACAGATGGTTGGGCCCCTGTGCATAGATCAGCAAATTCGTGGAAAGGAAACCTTACCACGAGCTGCTACCTTTCGTGCAGCAGCAAACGCGTAGTCATGTACGCCTCATGCAGAGCAGCGCGCCTTTCACAGACGGACACTCGCCGTGTCCCAAGGCGGCCCTCAGCCAATGGTGCAATTCGTACCGCAGTTGTGTCGCGCAACGCTCGTCACCATGGGCCAAGCCCCTGCAAGTTCCTGGCTGTCAGCATAGCCCCTCCCCGCATCACAAGGCAGACACAAGAGACGTTCCTCAACAGATCAAACTTTTCACACAAGAACGCATTGAACATCAGAACCCTTCTCGCACAGCAAGTCTCGTTCTCGTCCTCCTTGGTCTCCTCTCAAACAGTTAGGCCCCGCCAAATGCTCGTCCGCACCCCACATCATGTCCGCCCGACAGCCTGCTCCCCCTATCCGAAAATCCAGCACCCAGTTCTCCTGGCGTCGCGCCCTGGCCACATCGTGCCATGCGCCGAAGGGCGGGACATGAGCCCCACCCCGCACAGCGACCTGTGCACCTGGTGTGCCTCGCGCCACCGGCAATACAATCCAAGCCGCCGGACAGGTGAGCCATCATTTCTTCTTCTGCGCTGCCTTGGTGACCTTTCCGCCACCCTCCTTCTTGATGACCTCCTTGATGATGCCCACGGCCACAGTCTGGCGCATGTCGCGCACGGCGAACCGCCCAAGGGGCGCGTACTCGGTGAACTTCTCCACGCACATGGGCTTGGAGGGGACCATGGCCACGAAGGCCGCGTCGCCATTCTTGATGTGGTTGGGGTTCTTCTCCAGCTCCTTGCCCGAGCGGCGGTCGATCTTGGTGGTGATCTCCCTGAACTTGCAAGCGATGTGGGCCGTGTGGCAGTCGAGCACAGGCGTGTAGCCGTTGGAGATCTGGCCGGGGTGGTTCATGATGATGACCTGAAGCGCAGAACAATAAGCCACGGGGTCAGTCAGGTGGCATCGAGAAGGACACATCCATGCGCATGGAAATCAGAGTTGGCTCCCAATGGACAACACACCACATTTCGGAAGGCGACAAAAGCATGGTCCACCCCCACACATGCAGTCACAATCACACACCTAATCTACCAACCCAGCTAATACATGGCACACACCTACAGTCATGCCCACACCATATGGAATAAAACCAGCAGAGCAAAAGTGACAGGAACCTCGTTCCAGGGCCGCACCTGCGCAGTGAACTCCTCCGTGCCCTTGGCGGGGTCCGTCTTGGAGTCAGAGGCCACATAGCCACGCTTGAGCTCCTTGACCGACACGTTCTTCACGTTGAAGCCCACGTTGTCTCCAGGCACGGCCTGGGGCAGGGCCTCGTGGTGCATCTCCACGGACTTGACCTCAGTGGTGAGGCCACTAGGTGCGAAGGTGACGACCATACCGGGCTTGATGACCCCAGTCTCCACACGTCCGACAGGTACAGTCCCGATGCCACCGATCTTGTACACGTCCTGCAGGGGCAGGCGGAGGGGCTTGTCTGAGGGCCGCTTAGGTGGGTTCATGGAGTCGAGGGCCTCCAGCAGGGTGGGACCCTTGTACCAGGGGATGTTGTCACCCCTTTCGATCATGTTGTCACCATTCCAGCCAGAGATGGGAACGAAGGGCACCTGCACCATCGCAGCAAACGGTATCAGCACATGCACCTACCCTTGAACAGAGAGGAGGATCGTTAGTAGGACTACTAAGTGCATACCTATGCTGCATGGATGCTTTCAGCCCGGCACGGTTTGGTGGCACAGAACAGATACCAGCAGACAAACATGGCAAACAGGACACTGTATTCAAGGGACAAGGTTCCGAGCCTGGCTATGATGTCTGTCAGACAACAACTAAAAACACTTGTCCTTCAACAAGGCCTCCCAAGCGCACCGCAAGACAGCTCCATGACAAGGCTGGATGCAGCCAGGGCAGCATCTGCTGGATAATGACACCAGCAGGGGGCAACCAACAGCACACGCATCCGCGCAATGCCCAGGATCCCATTCCTCACAGCACCAGGTCGAGTGTCCAGATTGCAGCGCAGACCAACATACACGAGTCAAAGTAGGCCAAACGGTCACCAGTGGGCAGCATTCACGAGGAGCTCACCTTCTCCGGGTTGTAGCCCACCCTCTTGATGTACGTGCTGACCTCCTTCTTGATCTCATTGTACCGCTGCTCGGAGTACTTGGGCTCCGTGGCGTCCATCTTGTTGCAGGCACAGATCAGCTGCTTCACGCCCAGCGTGTACGCCAGCAGAGCATGTTCGCGCGTCTGGCCGTCCTTTGAGATGCCCGCCTCGAAGCCACCGGGCGTGGAGTCGATGACCAGCACGGCGACATCGGCCTGGCTGGTACCGGTGATCATGTTCTTGATGAAGTCGCGGTGCCCGGGGGCGTCGATGACCGTGCAGTAGTACTTCTGGGTCTCGAACTTCCAGAGGGCGATGTCGATCGTGATGCCGCGCTCCCTCTCGGCCTTGAGCTTGTCCAGCACCTGCGCACGAAATGGATCACAGACCACGGGATGAGCCGCGGAAATTGATGGCAGACGGCCAGGTAAGTGCCTGAAAATGAATACGGACTGCGGGGCAGGAGGCGGCGGCGTGGCGCACGGGGAGGCTAGTGAGCCCCACGCGCCCTGAGGGTGACAGCACCGTGAATTAGCCCCGAAATTGGAGGCTTCGGCCGCGACTTTGACAAGCGGTAGCGATTCTGACAGCTGCAATCTGGCGATCAGATCGCCGCTCCGGCCGGGAGCATCCGCCCGAGCTCGCCAGGTGGCCGCGTCCCGGTGCCTCGAGATTGCACAGCTGTGCGGTCTGCGCGCGTCGCCATGCCGCCCCTTGCCGGTCCCAGAAATCAGGTCCCAAGGCCTGTGGTGGCGGCGGCGGTGCCAACCGGGACGGGCGCCGATTGTCGGCCGGAAACGTAAGCGCGAAGCGACTAACGATGCGAGAGGAGGCGCAGCTGCGAGGCTGGGCCCCCGCAAGACTGCCGGGCCGCACGGCGGTGGCGGGGGGGTGGGGCGGGATCCGCCGCCACCGCCTGCTGGACTCTGCGGGCGAGCACAAATGGCCCAGTGCGGCCAACGACCGAGACACAAGGCACGCCGAACGGAGACAAGGGCGCCCGGAGGACTTTGAAGCCTGGTGTAAGGGGGGCGACGCCCAAATCCGCCGCCGCAGCAAAGCCCGCAAAGCGAATCCTCTGGTGAGGCATCCAAAAGACCGCGGGCACAGCCACACAAACATGCCGAGGCAGAGATCCTCCGGCGCCGAGGCACGGCGGCGGTGGCCCGGAGGAGCAAAGCCAAAGGGGGATGCCGCGAGAAGGGCGCAGTGGACCCACCCAAGCGTATTTGAAGGACCGCTTGTTCATCTCCGCCGCCTCCTTCTCGAACTTCTCGATGACACGCTTGTCGATGCCGCCCAGCTTATAGATCAGGTGGCCCGTGGTCGTCGACTTGCCGGAGTCGACGTGGCCGATGACCACGATGTTCAGGTGCTGCTTCTCCTTCCCCATGGCTGCTGCGACCGACCTGCACAAAGCACCGCAACCGCGCTCAACGACGGCAACGGACGACAAAAAGCAGCGGCGGGGATGGACAAGATCGTGGAACGATTTGAAACTTGTGCGCGCGATGGGCAGTGTGTGGCTCACCGGGGGCGCTGGGAGGGAGGCGCGAGAGGCGGCGGGGCGCGGCAGGCTGTGCGCGGGCTTGCGCTGCGCGAAACAGGCAGCACGGACGGCCGGGGGGTGTGCGTTTGTAGGGCCGGGGTGGCGGCGGGAAATGTGGGGAAGCCGACAGACAGCTACGGCGCCATGTTGTCGGAATCGCATCGCGGTCGTGCGGTGCGGAGGGCACCGATACTACGGTCCGCCAATGACGGGCCGCCCAAGGCGAGCTCGTTCACAATCATCGTTTAATTGGTGGGCATGGCAGATTTGTGTGATGAAGTGTGTGACGCGAAGGCAGGGTCACGTGGGGTGTACGTTAAATCCGACCCGACCTTGGGCATTTACACTGGTGGCGCAAGCATAATGGCTTGGTACGGTGGGCGCGTGTACGGATGCAGCCAGGCGGGCGTTCCAACGCTTTAGTCGTTGCTGCCCAACGTCGAGCAGCCGGCGAGGGGAGTTCCCGGTGGGCCGAGGACCGCCGCCTCACGTCCCGTCCCCAGAAACAGGTTCCCAGAGCCCTCCTCTGACATGCTGCAGGCGCAAGATCGCCACAAGCAGTGGCCGGCAAGATGCCTGCTGAACAACTGGCGAAGGCCGTGCCCTGGCCGCACGACGTTGGGCACCAACGAGCTGAGCGTTTGAAAGTGCGCCTGGCTGGCGACCGTACAGGCACCCACCATGCCTGGCCATTATGCGGGCAACGCCAATGTAAATGCCAAAGGCTGTGTCGGATTTAACGTGTGCCGTTGCGGGCGCGTGGTGGGGAGCCCTGGCTGGGGCCCGCAGGCTCGAGTGCTCGGCAACGGTTCATAGCGAAGCAAAGGGACAACAGGCGTTCTGCGCCTTGTATTCCCGTTCATCAATGTCCTTGATGCAATTCCTAATGCCCCATCACCTCTGTATGTGCACAGCTGTTAATAATACTCGATCAGTTCTAGTCACAACAGCACCATTGGTAACACCATTGGTAATAGGAGTTATTGTATTCTCGGTCTTTGTTTGCGTTACGCATTAGATTTCAATGGACTGATCATGCACACTGCTCTGCTCGGGCAAAATGTGAAGCCATCAGCTGCCTCGCTGCCTTGTTATGTAAGATAGGTGATGAACCATTGTGAAGGACGATATGCATTAGATTTCGGTGGACTGATCATCCACACTGCTCTGCTCGGGCAAAATGTGAAGCCATCAGCTGCCTCACTGCCTTGCTATGTAAGATAGGTAATGAACCATTGTGAAGGACGATATGCATTAGATTTCAATGGACTGATCATGCACACTGCTCTGCTCGGGCAAAATGTGAAGCCATCAGCTGCCTCACTGCCTTGTTATGTAAGATAGGTGATGAACCATTGTGAAGGACGACACTGTCAAGGGGTGGCAACCCCTGCGCGGGCTCTGTGGACTGGAGTACACGGCAGCCAAGTACAGCAGAGGCAAGGGACACTCGGGGTCCAGATACTGAATACAAGGATATGCGTTAATTTGATTGTTTCCATTTCAGCTGCATCACCATCGGCTTGAATGCGGGTCTGGCCGACCAAACCTTGGCTGGCCGCCAGGAACATGCGGCGAGATGCATGTACCCGTGCTGTGTGCTGTAATGAAAATGACTTGGTGCACGAAAGTGCGCAAGCATCGTCCTTCAACCGTTATCCGGTGTTCACCTGGGAACACGAACGCATGGAGTTGGGGCATGCGCCACACTGCCCTGCAGAATGTGCAGCCGGAATGGCGAGGCGAGGCTGGCCTACCAAATCAGCGAGTGGGGGTGGGGGTGGTTGTCCTTTGTCCCACTGCAGGGGCCACATAGGATCACAAGCTGGAATCCGCGAGAATTGTCAGCTGCATCTCCTCAATCCATCTGGCAGTTCTTGTTGATTTAATTTGGCAGGCCTGGGTCCCTTGAGCGGTTTTCTTAGGCGTGGCAGTTCTGGACGACATGTGGCGTGTGAAGGCCTTTAAACGACGTTCTTAAGAAAATGTCTTCAAGGAAGTCAAACAACCAGCACTGCAGCGATTATGATCTGCTGGAAAATACAATGATTGAAGCGGTAGTAGTACATACCTGGACGCTGGCAAACCAGAATTCAGCCCAATAGTTGAAATTGACAACAGGCCATTCCCGGAAACAGGACAAAAATTGGCAGGCCTAGCAAATACGATTTGCTCAAATTCAAAATACGCCATGAACGCGCGTTTTGGCCATTTTATTTAAACATCCTTATTTTGAGATGTAATTTAGCCGAAAAAATCTAAATGCCTTTTAGTCTGGCGAATTTGTGGCTGCGACCTGTAACCTGCATCCCACAGACCTGCGCGTCAGCACACCTGGGGAGCAGGGTGCTGCAAATGCAGCGAGGAGCGAGTGGCGATGTCCAAGGTGCCCAACGTGGCAAAGGTCTAGAAAGATGTCACAGCCCAGGGGCTTATGTGAACGTATTGCGGCACTGCTGTGACGGGCGGCGGTGAACTCCGATGTTGCCCCCTGACATGCATCACTGAGTCTGGGGCTGTCGTGCGCCATGCTAAAGTGCCACACGATGGGATGGAGAATATGAAGCGGTTGCAAGAGCTGCATCATGGGGCAGTGCGCAAGCAAATAGTCTTCTGCAGACAGAGGAATCGCATTGTTTTAATTCTGTATATGTTTGGTGCAGGGCCGCTTTCATCAGTATTTCTAAGGAATGCCCTTTTGGGCATTAGCCTGACAGATCCCTGCTGTGAGACTTTCAGAATTTCATGCATTACAATGATGAAAGTACAATCATGTGGTCGCGTGATCCCGCTGCTTGGAGTGCATTCGAACCTCGATAACTGAACACCACACGCCATGCGACAATTGCATCATTAGGTACACAATCGTGACATATCGTTTGAGCAGCCTCTAATGTACAAGCACACACTCTGAAACCTGCATCCAAAACCCAAAATGTACAAATCTGTTCTTCCGCGCTCTCTTGCAGGCCTCTCTCCTGCAAGGTGATTACTGGTGATGAACAAACCTGATTGCCCAGCGCCGATGAAGATTCCCAGGTGGGAAATGAAATCCCTAATCCCTACATTCAAAACGATGACCCACTTCGACTATTGTGCCACAGTGCCACCGTCCCGTGAAGCTGCCAAGCCCTTAGCCCCAACCTTGCTCGGAAGCGCTCGCCAGCTGCGCTGCGCACCCACCAAACCGCCTGTCTGTGCATCAATTGCGCATCATTTTGCTATATAAGAATTTCCCATTTCGCGGGGCGCAACGAAATTCATCCATTGATCCATTGAAATTGAATTGATCCATCCTTTACACGTCGGCGAAATTGCTGCAGTCGTTCCCTTCGAAGCCCTCGAAGCACAGGCACTCCCCCGACTCCAAATTGCACAGGCCGTTGCCACTGCAGTCCCTGGGGCACGTTTTGGCGGGCGGCGCCGGTGACCTGTTTCTGGCGTTGCAGCCCTCCCCTCCACCGCAAACTTCAAACCTGCCGGACGCGCTGAGGCCCATGACCTCCGGTTGGGAGTTGACAAAGGCGCCGGCGGAGGGCAGGGAGAAGTTGCCGGGGCTGGCAGCAACGGCGCGGAACTGCGCTCTGTGGATGCCGGGCCTCAAGGAATCGTAACGGAAAGTGACGGCGTCGGGGAGAGTCTCCTGCCGCAAATAAGGAGAAATTCCGCGTCACTATTGCACGCACGCCTCGCGCACTTTATCCCCGTTTGCTTTTAACGTATGAAATGAATATTTGACACGATGTTCGATGGTTAACGATGTACAATGTTACTGTGCCTCAATGGCGGCGAAATTCATGCAGCTGTCCCAGCCCTCAACTGGCTCTTCTCCTATTCGCGTGCCTCTGTATACGCCAATGTATCCACTCAAACAGCTTTCTTTAGATGGAAATTGATACAAATATCTCTGCGTTCCACAAATTTGTCTTTACTATTTTACTGTGCTAAATCACTTGAAATCATGTATTGCTGACGCCAACCACCTTAGGAATGGAATGAATATTTTTGAAGTACTATTGTGAATTATTTAAATTAAATTATGTATGCAATTCATCGCGCCACTACAAGCATTGCTTTAAGACAACAGTTCCACAGTTGGGTGTAATCTTTCGCCAGTGGGGAGCGAAAAAACTTTGCAGCTTCATACTTTGAAACCCTTTGAAAAGGAGAATTCTGAGACCATAGTGATTTCGCATCCATGTGATCAAGCTTGCCCATAGCGTGCGCAGAACTGAATTAACTATAATGCATAGCAGTTACTAAATAGCACATTGTTGCATTTTTGGATCTCCTTGAGCGTCACAGTCAGAAGGTCTCTCAGCATATGCCTCATGGAAATGTTGATGCACTTGCCTGAAGGCACATCGAAAAGCAAGCAACGAATACTGATGCGTTCTCATTGCGATATCGCGACAGTACGACCAGTCTTACTTGCAACAGAAGGAAATTTCCAGTCTATCTGAATGGCTTTGGCAGACCGACGTTTGAAACGCAGCATCGCACCTGCTCGCTATTGGCAATCAAGCATAATTCCTGTGGCCAACTTTTCAGTACTGCCACGTGGCAACAACTCAACTTCATCAATTGCCATTTCTCGATTGTCCTCATCACTGATGGAAACGCGCTGTACTATAGCAATTATTGCGGAATTTTCTTTGACCATGAGCAAAACATGTTCAAACGGCACTACGCGTTGGAATATTGTACGTGCATTGGTGCACACCAAATGTCACACAATGTTTACTACAAGGGGGGCACACCTGTTCTGGGCAATTCTCGAACGGAAACGTCGCAAGGCTTAGGAACGTGTCGAGAGGAGTGGCGCAGGCTGCCGATCGGTCACCCTCAACGTTTGGATCCACAGGCTCTAGGCCGCCAGGCATCAATACTCGCACTGTGGTTGCGTCCAGCGCGTCTGGAGTAGTGATCTGCGGAACAAAGTTGCCCTTGCATCCACTCCATGAGAATATTCCAATTTTTGTCGTCGTCATCACTGGTAGAAAACAGCCTGTTTGCGATGCCAACTGTGATGCTATTTTGACACAAAATGATGTCGTCACAGCGACTGCGATGGCATAAAAGTGGCTGTGATGGCAACAATTTGTGTCAAATGGCATCGCAATTGGCATCGCAAACAGGCTGTTTTCTGCTGGTGCATGTGATGGCTATCGACTTTAGATTTACGTTTACGGCACCATTTTAACGTTTACTCCGTAAGGATCAAGCCTGATTGCTATGTGCCATATGGGAATGACTGATTAAATAAATTGAATTTGAATGATTGGGTGAGCGAAGTCATTGGCTAGATATGTGATTCAGTCATCAGTTGAAGAGATAGTTAGTCAATGAGGGATGGATGTATTGGTATAGATGGTGTTCTTCCTGCGTTTTGGGCGATTCTGAGATGTTATACCTAGAGATGTGAGTGGAAGATGAGATCTCCCCTTCGACAACAACTGTGTTCTGTAAGATCCTTCTAATATATGCAGTTGCATATGAATACTGCAAAATTAAATGGTGATTCCGTTTCTTAAACTGCTGAATGCTAGCCAGCTCGCAAAAACAGAGTCAAAACCGAGTGTGTTACAAAACTCAATCAAAGCAGGTTTGGCGTACCGTGACTTCAGTGATTCCCCGACATGTCAAATGTAATAAACAGCTGCGGCGTATTTGCAATACGTCAAGGTGAGCTGAAGCGAGGTATTATCCCTTGCGCGGCATGGCGGCGTTCAAACAGCGTTACATTTTACATATTTGCATCTCGCCATTCAATTTCCGTGCATATTTCCAAAAATCGTCAGGGCTACTATGAGCAGCGCCGAAAAGGACAGCATCACATAACTTGAGCCAGTTTTGAACAACAACTTTCGCCAGCGACGCTCTGTGCCGCCCAATTACCTGCACCGTGACGACCACCACGGTCCCCAGGGGGGCCACCTCCAGTGGTGGGCCCACGGGGCCCCCTTCTTCGGCAGACGGGCCGGCCATCTGAACCACCGCCTCCACCTGGATGCCCCTGAACGTCGGGAACCGAAGCGGCTCCAAAGGCACGAAGTTGAGTAGCGCGGCGACGGTGACCTCTCCCTGACCCTGCGCGGAAAATTCCAGGGGCGCCGGCGTGGAGCCCAGGGCGGACCAAGGAGTGGCGGCGGAGATGGTGGGGGATTGGGGGGACGTGAAATTGGCCTGCAGAGCACAAATCGCGCTCTTACCACTGCCGAAGAAATTTCCATTTCACACAGCATTGCGATGATGTGCTCAGATCGCCTGTGCCGTATGGTGATGTGATGGGACATTGCGCACGAATTTGCAGAGAGGTGGGGCGTTATGTACAGACGTGAATGTGTAGACAGAGTGGACATAATCACTGCATATCCATGAGTGACGTGGCTTTGCCCACTGTGCGCGACTTCTCAGTATTGAAATGCGTTCTTTTGTTCTTTTGATTTTCCAGGACTCGTTTATCTCCCCTTTATGCGCTGACAGCGGAGCAACCGAGTTGTCCTGGTCGCGTTTCTGGTGCACTTTTAAATGATTTGCGTGCCGCCGACACCTTCCAGTGGCTGTTAATGAGCGCGTCTTTCAATGCACCGGTGTCCAAATCGGTGAAGAACTGGGGTTTTGTGAACGCGGCCTGCGGCAAAATAGCAGATGGCATGAGCGTTGTACACAACTTAGCTCCCGAAAAATAACAATTGGCGGCCTTGTGCGCAAATTTCTGGCTCGAATTCCAGAGCATATTATATGATGGCGGGTGGAAAGAAATATCTGAACGGGAGTGGTTGTAGTACTGCGTTTAAATGGTGGAATGCCAACATCAGATCAAACTCACTGGGAAAAGAAGGTCCAAAAAACACGTGTTTAAAACGTGTGCAAAATTTGCGGGTTTGGGTTATTTTTGTGTTCTTAGCGTGCGGGACTTTGATGAAATGTGTGTTTTATGTGTGTTCTCAAAAGTGCACTTGGTCCTCTTTTTGATAGTGACTTGATCTACTATACTTAATTCAAAGAGAGGCGCCGAAAGAAATAACTAACCGTATGTGCAGCATGTTGTGGAGCATTATGCAATGCCCAAAGCCGTGGCTTTCTTGTACGTGACGCCAAATGTGATTATAGCCCCTTGAATCTCATCAACACAGTGAGATTCGTATCAAAGATGAACATTTACGGGTGCTCGTGGCTTGGGTGACACGCGTCATTGCCATATATGAAGATTAGAAAGGTGCCGCGAAGGAAGTGGAGGACACAAGTGTATGCTGCCCTAATCCCTAAAGCCTAAAAGGCTAAATTCAACCATTTCCACTACCTTCACGACTTTCATGAGCTTCGTGTTTGAAAGTAAAAGTATCGAACATTTGTGGGGTGCTCTGGTTATCCCCCTGTGGCTCCTTCTCATGTCCATTTTTGGTGATAGGCCTGTAGTTGCCACCGCCATGTCCTGATGATGAACCATATCATTTACCACGTCTCATATCCTAAACTTATATCTCGATGGCCAACTATTTTGTTAGTGTGAAATATTTCACGTAGGCTAATTATGAAATCGAGCAAGCTCTGTCCTTGGACAGGATTCTATCCCTTCCTGAAGCTACTGGGAGAGAGCAAACCTGTATCGGTGCATTTATGAAAACACGACAAACCAATGTTCTTTGGCCTAAGCTGCCACGGCGTATTGAGCAACATAGTTTTGATTGAAGCACCTCTTCAAAATTCACGTATATATTCAACGCGTAATACCCAAGTACTTTCCATGCCACGTCAGAAGGCCAGCGGCGCCCAGATGATGTTTCCAAATTGCTGAAAGGGACGCCTTGTTTCCAAACTGACAGCGCATGCTATCATCCACAAGCCACGCGCCAACATAAAGCACCCCCGCAAATTTCAGAAACTTCGAATTACTTCCACAAGAAGAGAACAATCATAAATTTTGGGATGCTTTGGAAAGAGATTAACAACACATAAGTCGCGGCTTACCTGCAGAAGTGTCAGATTTCCGCTTCTGACCATCAGCTCAAGTTCTGGGTCTGCCGATCCCCTGTCCAGGTCGTATTCGGCCAAAGCAACCATGCCGACCAGCTTTTCGATGTAGTTGGGGAAGAAGGCGAATTGGCCGGCGGGTGGGCTGGCCACGTAATTGGCAAGCTTTTCCCTTAGCGGCCCCGCGGACTTCCCGGCGCGTGTCATCGACAGGAGCGCCAGGGCGTTGCCCATCAAACCTGTTTGACGATCCACGTGAATTCCGTAGCACTTGCCGGGAAGTGATGTGCACGGGCATTGTCGTCGTTGCACTCATAGCATCGAATGCGGTGTTGACACGTATTTTGGAATGAGCGTCTTCTTTGGAAGTGTGCAAAGCTTTAAAAGGAAGACTTCTGCTGATTATTAGCCTGTACAACCCTCATGCTACGCGCTAACGATATTGGCACCGTAAATGCGTTGGCCCAACAAAATAGCGGTTCTAAATTAGATTTATATTTACCAACATGGGATCAATGGTCAGTATACCTTCTGCTCCAGTACTTCAATCCTTGCGACCAGTGCCCATTTTAGGTATTTAAAGTTTGCAGATATATTATAACCCTCATATGACCAATCGCAATGCTTTGGGATACCTCACATGCTAAGTGAAATACCTGTCCGCAATGTCGAGCTTTCCTCTTCGATACAGTAATAAGATAACGGTTTGCTGGAATTATCCAACCTGTTGAATTGTTGTCATAACGTCAGTGCACATCGTCCACTACAGTGCTGCAAAAGACGACTTGCATGTCCCATCAATGCTAACCTGGCACTGCACTAGCTCGTTCCGGTGAGACACTCTTCGCTGGAGGTGGCGCATGCCGCTATTGTCTCACAGCCTACACAAATCTTCGTGCGTTGTCCATAAAGTCATACGCATAAGTCATCGCGCAGAAGATAGTCATAAGCCCTCGCGGTCTAAGCCGAAATCTAGACTGGGACGGAGAAAGGGGCCGGTGTCGAGACCGGCACTGGCAAAGGTACCGGTTTTTACGACTTAAGGCCTACGTGTTGAGGGTTTATAAACGTGGTTAGGGTTTATATTCTTTTGCATTTAGTTACTGGTATCGGTACCCGTCTCGGTGCGGGACTAAACGTCTGCGTATCGGGAACGCCCCAGATCAATTGGTGCCAAATTCCGTTGCAGTGAGCATTTAAGAAACGGCGATTCTACTGCTGCCTGTGGGCCTCACTCGCTGGCTCGGCGCATCCGTCGCAGGCCGCCACGTAAGCCGTGCGCCCTCCCGTCCTGAGCCGCGACGTGAAGACCTTGACGGCCTCCAGGGCGGCCTCCCTCGCCGTTGCGTTCCCAGACCGGAGCTGCGCCAGCGCCATCTGCGCCATGGCGTCGGTGCTCAATTCGCCGAACTCCGCCTCCAGGCGCGCGACGGAGAGGTCTTCGGATATCGTAGCGGGGGTGTCCTCTGGGGGGGACCAGTCGATGCCGAGGGCCAGCCTGGAGGATGGGAGACGTGGGAGTTTCGAGCCAGAGAATTGCGACAAGCATTGCGTCAGGATTGTTACTTACAGAATTAGTTATTTTACAATTGCTAATTTAGAAAATAGAACATTCTAATTTTTTTACGTAAAATTACGTGACGCGCGCTGCGTTTACGCCGCAAATAAGAAGCCTGTATTGCATGGAATGTGCCGTGTGCATTTCATTGCTCGCAGCGCTGGGTAAATCTGGTCGATTTTTGTGTGGTCTGATCACTCCACGTCTGGACAAGACAGTGCCTTAACAGCTTCTGGTGCTGCCTTGGCTGAAGTTCCATGGGCTTTGGGCGAAGCGGATTAGCAATCCATACGTCAGTGAAAAGATCGCATCTCCCCGCACGCTCAAAAGAGACTCAGCAAAAGGAGAAGTACTTCATTTAAACTGCCGCTGATGAACATTTGATGAAACTGTATGCAGGCTTGGTTTTACGCTGTAAAAACTGATGGTATTTACGTTTTCACACGTAAAAATAGTTTTCAATTTCCACGCGGAAAAATACGTAAAACACACAAATGCAACATCAAAACTGCCCGGTTTACATAAGGACAGTACACACAGAGCTACGGAGTCCGGAGAGCGGCAGCCAGACGCCCAGGAAGGAGCATAAAACGAGTTCTTGTTTAACGCCATTATCGCCAAGGGCGATGTGGACATTGTGTTGCAGGTGCTGGGGGTGGCGCAGGATTGATCGTTGCACGCAACTTTCATCGCGTAACCTGGGTGTCAGAGGGAGCCGTAAAAACGTAAAAAATGGCCGTTAAAATGGGATCTTTTGCAATTTTACGTTGTTACACTTAAAAATGTAAAGTAAAAATGTAAACGTGAACGTAAAAACCAAGCCTGGCTGTACAAAATACCATCAAAGATTTTGATGCACCAAATGTTGATTTCCTGGCTTCGTTGCTTTTGTAAGTAACAGTAATTTATATAGGATTGTCTGACCTCGCCAGAGCGACAGTTGAAGATTGAATTGGACGGCCTGAGTTCTGGCGTGTGCTCCTTGCTTCCCTCAGCAACTGAGCCTCCAGCGCGGGGCGCCAAATGCCTGACGACAAATTCTTGAGGGCTTCAGCGCCTTCCACCAAAACCTGCGCAGCGAGACGATGCTGGAGCATTTAGTGCAACAAATTTTGAACAAATTTTCGCACCAACGTCGATTGAGCGCGGCGGCGCTGGTTTGGAAATGGACTTAGATGGTATTTTCTGGAAATTGCAATATACTCCAGTCCTTATTCGCTTACGCAAGCAATCATCATTTATTATTCAAAGTGTTATCCTAATATTATAAACATTGACAATGGCGACTTGCACTTCACAGTGTACTTCCAAGCGTACAGTACGTTGTGCCGCAGTGCAACTGTGCTGATGCACCACCAAAAGGCAGTTGTCTCAACCTAATTATGTCCAACTCGAACGGTTATTCCACCACTGCCTGACTTTTTGACGTTTAGCGAAGGCAATTGGGTAGCCGTGGGCTCTCCTAGGCCAGATAGGTCAATCTGTCGGCGAGGAAAGTCACGAAAACGCACTTTCAGGAATTTTACTATAAATTGAACTATTCTTATTTCATGTCAGGTGAATACACTGAATGTAATTCATGATGGTAGTCATGCCCCACATCTGGCCAGTACTCACGCAGTACATATACATAGCCGTGTTCTAACGCAAATCAGTCACTGGATTGGAAGTTTCCGTTCGATTTGGGATCGCGAAATGAAGGCAGCCTAAGTCTCAGCGACTCAATTCCATCTTCCCTGCAATTTGGCTCCAGCCAAAGCGTCATTAGTCGACACCAGAGCAAATGTTGCCTGTTGAATGCTCTTGTCTGTCTGCAATTCTTTGAATTGGGCTTGGATCCTCACCCGAAATGCGACAACATCATATGGAGCCGGAACATAATCCATACTCAGTGTCCGCAACTTTCCATACTGACAGAAAGCACGTCCAAAGAGTAAAATCTCACGCGGATGTCCTCTGTGTGGATTTTCAATCCTATTTATTCATGTGCGCGTGGGTGTCTACGATATATTAACGCAAGATGCGTATGACACGGCGCCATTTGACAGTAATTGATGCAATCGCAGCTAATTTTATGCCATCGCGATCAATGCGATGGCGTCACTTAGTGCCAATATGGCATCGCAGTTGGCATCGGAAAAATAGTGTTTTCTACTGGTGATGCGCGAGCACGCTGGGCATTTATCGCGCATCCAATGCGCAGCCTTCTTTCATGGCCTCTGTGATCTCTGATACCTGGCGTCTATGATCTCGCCCTTCTCCCACACTCCCACCCATGCATATTGCACATACAGTCTCCACAACTAGTCATACTACGTAGTATTGCGTAGCACTATGCACGTCCATCACATACAGATCCATTTGAATTCGCCAAGTGCTGTGTGTGTACATCCGAGAACTCTAGACCTCCACACGTACATTGCGCGTAAATCGCGCACTATTCTCTCCTGTGTGAACTCTCCCCTCTCCCACCTTCCTATCTGTTGACTCCAGGCGGTCCCCCAATGTCTCCACCAGCCACACGCCGTAGGCATTCAGGTGGACGCTCGAGGACGCGGGCCGCGCCAGCAGCTGCCTCTCCTTACGGCACCCAAGCCGCCATCGCAGGCCGAGCTTCGCATCAGTCAAGTTTCCGACCGCCAGGTTCTGCAGGGCCAGAGAGAAGTTGGCCCCGGAAGACGCCAGCAGGGCCCGCGCGGTGCCCTTCGACTGCTGGTCGCCTTGGGCGGTGGTGAAGAGGCCGTAGCTCTGAAGGACGGCCGGCACGCCGGCGTGCGCAAGTTCCAGGTCGCCGTCGATGGGGCAGGTGTGGCTGCGGTGCACACGAAAATGTCCGCCGATGAAAACAAACGTGTGGCCATTTATCGAACAATCGTAATTTAATGATAAATTTGGCTTTACCAAAGACTGCTTGAAATAACAAGAAGTGGAATAGAAAAGTAAATAATAGAAAATGCCAAATTAGAAGATATGCAGACATGAATGACAACAAGGGAAGACTACTGGCCTATTGCGCCTCTATTCTGTAGGAACTGGACCCCTCAGTTCCTTCATTTATGCACAGCGACTCCAAAAGACGGAGTTTCTGCACAGAGATTCATGTGAATCCGAGTGGCGCCCCGTGCGCACTTGACGCCACTCTCCATGATCTCCCGCGCCGCGGACAGCACCGCCGGCAGCCTCCCCACGCCCGCCTGCAGTTCCACGCCACCAGTGCCCGGAACCGCAGCCGGCAGGTCGAGCCCCACGGTAGCGTTTGACGTCCCGTTGGGGGCGGCCCGGATTGCGAAAGACTTCGCGATGGCGACGGCCTCCTGTTGTCCCATCACAGGAATCGACAGCTGCACTGCGTCCACGGAGCCGCTTCCATCTCCTACGGCGGATAGTCGATTGAAGAAATCTTTTAGATGCTGCAGGGGCTCAATTGCGGTCACAAGAAACGGTGTCCAATGAGCTTGATACTGCATTTCCTTTCGCGATACATTAGGAAACAAAGTGCAATATAGCACGTGTTAAAATGTGTATAAAGTCACGGGTTTGTGTTATTTTTGTGTTCTTAGCGTGCAGAACTTTGATGAAATGTGTTTTATGTGTGTTCTCAAAAGAGTTATTTGGCCCTTTCTTTCCTAGTGTTAGGCCACTGTTAGGTTCCTGGCATTGGTTAGGTAATTGGCAGGTACCTGCGCTCATGACGAATTTCGCCTCTCCCAGCGCCTCGGCCCTCATCCTGAACCGCACCTCCACCTGCCCGTCCTCGTCCGCCAATATCTCCCTCCTTGTGGCCTCCAGCGCCTTCAGGCCGCCGCCCTGGACCTCGAGGTCCACCGTGACGGGCACTCCCGATGCGGAAGCTCCCGGGACGGTCACGACGGCGCCCGCGTCGAAGACGTCTCCCACGCGCACGAACCGAGGGATGGAGGGCGTGAGGGACAGGTTTCGGCGCACGACGATCTCCGTCTCAACGCTGCCGAAGCGAGCCTTGTCTGAGAGAAACGCCATTGATTGCATCAATAATACTTCCTCCGTCCGGCACAAATTGACCTCCACTTGTGAGACCAATTTCATTACAACAGCGGCCTCGAACTCGAAAAGTCGTCGAGTTCAAAAGCCATCCACCTCAAAATCAAAGAGATTTTGTCCCAAACCTCTTGGACACCAATTCCCAAGAAGTACGACAATGACACCGTTAACGATTTCTGAGGCTGAGCCGCCGTCCTGTGCAGCCATCGTGCTGAATCACACCAGCATGGCTGCGCTGCTGTGGAGCTGGTTGTTTGTAACTTTGAAGTCTTCTTGACAAATTACATTTGACAAATGAAATGAGAGGGTTTCCGCAATTTGTAAAGTGCAACACAGTCCGCGCGGGGATTTCAGCCAGTTTGGCCCTCATTGGGATGTCTGTTGTCGGCTGAACGGAGCCCATCACGTGCAGCTGTTTCGGCCTCCGCCCCAACCAACAGCTTATTTTGCATGCATTGATGCGTGCGAACTACGTCACGCTCTGCCGTGAGCTTCTGATCAAAGCAACAGAAAGTGCTGGGCATCAGGTCCTGGGCACATAGCTTTACGGCCTGCTTTCACTTCATAGCTCTTTACTGATATGCGCGATTATTTGCCAAAATTCTACGGTTCCAGACATGGATCGTGTGCAAAAGCATTTTCCCCGTGTTTTCAAAGGGCGTCCCGCGCAAACTGTGGATTCCTTCGCCCTCAGCGTTTTCGGCATACGAAAACCGTGCATCGTAGTTTGAATATCACATGCTCTCGGTACCGGCGAGCATAGGTGTGTACTGATAGGGCATCACGCCCATCCTTTTGGTCCGAAGGTCTGCTCCAGTTACCGCGCGCCGGCAACTCTGGCGAGAAAATGGTGGAAATTTCTGCCAGGACCCAACCTCATTTATTAGATATAGTCCAATAATTTGCTGAATTCACCTACGAATGTGTAATTCAGGGGCTGTGGTCAATTTCCTGAGCGCCATGCACCAGCAGTGCCTTAATTTGGTAGGAGAAGTGCAGGCGGAATTCTTTCCCAAACATGCCAGCCAATGCCTGTTCGATTATCCAGGGAACAGTGGGCGAGGTCACCTGTAGCGGCATAGGCCCTGATGACAAACGTTCCCAAGTTGTCCGGAGCCTCGAAATTCACCACCCCAGATCCGCCCCTCGTGGCGTTCAGAACCCTGAAGAGGGGTGTCGGAGCGAAGTCAGCCTGGGCGCGAATCGCCCCGGCACCATCCGGAGCTCCGAAAGCCGCCTCCGCTTGGAAAGGCGGCGAGCTGCTGTCCAGGGACAGGGGAATCCCAGGTGCTCCACCCAATCCCTGCTGGGAGAAATCTGCGGCGCCGGGTCTGGAGAGTGATCGACTCGTCACGCTGAGGCCGCCGTCCGGAGATTCCAGCGACAGCAGGTTGATTTCTCCGAGAAGCCCTCCCGGCGGCAGGGGAGGAAGGTCGAGAGGCGTGATGCGATATCCTGGCCTGCTGACGGGCGTCCTCATCTGCGTTTCGCGAAAACGTATTGTATAAGAAAACGCCAAGTTTGCGATGCGAACTGCGATGCAATTTTGACACAAAGTGGCGCGCCATGTCTGCGACTGCGGTGGCATAAAAATAGGTGTGATGACATCGATTAGTGTCAAATGGCATTGGCATCGCAGAAATGTTGCTTTCTGTGGTATTTGTTCGAGGGCAAATGTCCGGTATCCTTCATTTTCCAGGTAGATTTTGGGTCTTTTAAGTCTTTTCCGGTTTTAGGGGTTTGAGGGCATCGTATGATTTAGGATACTCATGAAACTCACATCAGAAAAAGGTAGGTTGAAATTATCTCCACTTTGGAGCTGTGCGCCACCACCGGCAGAAAATGGGGCAAAACATGGTTCATTTCCCTCGATTGTTTCGCTTCAAAAGCGCTAAACATTTAACACATGTCAATCAAGTTCAAATGTTCGCGACTTCCACAACGGAATAAATTGCGTACAGACCCCCGCTCTCTTTTGCATTGAACTTCACCTGTGCAGAGTGAGAACAACGCACAATGCGCAGCTCATCACCAACTTTGCTACGTCAGCGCGCGTATCGTGTCATTCACGCAACCGCGGCAATCATCCACATCCCTGGCTTCGAACCTGAGGATTGCCCGATACATATATCGTACACCAATGGAAACGCCATCTCTACGATGCCAACCGTGGCGCCATTTGACAGTAATTGATGGCCCCGCAGTGATTGTTATGGCAGCGAAGTAGCCGTGATGGCATTATTGAGTGTCCCAATCACATCACAGATTGCACTGCAACAACAGTGTTTCATGCCAGTGACAATATTGCGTATGCAAACCCATGCGGCGTTCCCATATGTTACATGGCCGGAATAATACGTCATTCCGGGCACGAAGATCACGTAGAGGTCGCGATGGGTGCCGGGACCCTAAGTGCCTACATGCCAAGCAGCCACAGCGGAAAAGCATCAATCCCTGAGCCTGAACATGATCATGACTCACACGACGGCACGTCCGGAAGCGAAGTACACCAGACATTTTCCCAACCTCGACGTGCCCGCTCACCAGGCTCATCACGTCCGCCCAGGGGTTCTCCTCCCGGGCCCCAAGAAACTGCTCCACGAGTGCCTCCGGCAGGCGGGGCGCCAGCAGGCGCCTCGACGAGGACGCCCCGACGAACCTAGCGGCTAGGTCGAACGCGAAGTCCTTAGCCAAGTCCCGGAGTTCGTTGGGCACGAGCTGCAGGACGGCCTTGTCCACCGCGATCACTGTCAGCTCCACCGCCTCGCCGGGCCTCAGGTCGCAGGATTTGTTGCCGGCAGTACCGCCGGTGGTGTTTGCATTCTTGCAGCCCTTGACGGAGACTCGGACGGGCGTGGAGGCCCCCGGGGGCAGGACTGGAGTGGCTTCTCCGGGCGGGGGGGAGAGGTCGGGAAGGGACAGCTCGACGGCCAGGCTGCGGTTCTGAAGGGGCACAATTTTCAAATTCAGTCGAATACTCGAATGTTGGAAAACGGTCCTAAATTATTAGCGCCAAAAAGTCCAGCCATGGTGCGAGGACGCATTTGAGTGTAGCACTGTACTATCGCATGGCCGCCCTGAAATGCGGTCTGTGAAATACTTCATTTCCGTGCCTCCGTACTTTAATCTCGTACTTCCGCAATTCCATGGTTCCGTGCTTTGCTTCCGTGCTATTCTAGTTTCCTTTCGAATTTTCGTTGTTCCGTGGTTCCGTACTTTACCTCCGCACATCCGTAATTCCTGCCTGTGCTTTTGCCCCATATTTTGCTGCTTTTGCACTCGCAGTTCTGAAATGTCAGCCAGTGAATTTAGCAGCGTAACTTCTCAGTTATTTTCCGGCCCTGACCTGATTTGCGGAGATGCTAGCCTCCATTGTGTGCGTCTTGGGCATGGCTGCCTCGACGTACATGGTCTCGGGGACTCCCATGGGGTTGATGTCGCTCCCATTCTGTCGGGGAACGCTGACGTGGACGGCAACCGCGCAACCGGCGGCGCAGGGTGGGCCGATGGGCACAGAGATTTTCGAAATTTTCCTGTCGGGTAGGCTCACAACCTGCAGGAGACAGCAGCGCTCAGGCGCTTGTGAGCGCGAATTGCAAATTTTGCACCACGCGCCATGCGCATCGACTGTACTTCATGTGCGTGCGCGTGCTGTATGTAGTGCACGGGCACATGGATCGAAAAATGCAGTTTGCCCGCGGGGACAGCAAGAGCATGGGTATGACTGCCCTTTTACTTCTCGATAATGGATTCTCCAGTTAAACACTGCGCATGTATGCAAATCAGGCTCTGCATCAGAAACCTGATCGGACGTTTTGCGCTTGCAGTTTAACGCAACAGTTTGCACTAGCAGAAAACGGTGTGTTTGTGATGCCAGCTGCGGTGCCATTTCGACACAAAATGTTGCCATCGCAGTGATTGCGATGGCATAAAAGTGGCTGTGGTGCCATCAATTTGTGTCAAATGGCATCGCAGTTGTCATCGCAAACATGTTGGGGATGCTCAACACGAAAAAACCGGCCGCGCGTGCGAAGCATTATGTAGCAGTAATTTTGGTCACGGCGTCCGCAAATGTGTGTGAACGGAAGGTGCGGCTCACCAATACAAGCACACGTCATTGCTCCGCGCAGTGGCGGAAATCGGCGCTCTGACTTTCCGCGCATTCTGTGCAAATTATTCAAGCTTGCATGATTTCAACATCAATCTTCAATACAGGAGACTTATAACTGTAGTGCAGGCTTGTTATTTACGCCGTGAACACAGATTGTATTTACGTTTTACCGCGCAAAAAGTAATTTATGCGTTTTTGCGCATAAAACAGAGTAAAATTACGTAAATGCAACGTAAGTGCAACCACTCAAACATAAGGACAGTCCATGCAGCGTTCCTGAGTCTGGGGAGTGGCAGCCAGGCAGGATGAAATGGGCAGAAAACAAAGTTTTGTTCCACGCAGTCATGTCCCATGCCGAGCGGGAAATCGGCGCTGTGTTGCGGGTTCTCGAAAGTGTAGAGAACTGATCATTTTACGCGAATTTTATCGTGTAACCTGGGTGCCACGACCAGCCGGGAAAACATAAATGCAGCCGCAAAAATTACCTCTTTTTCAAATTTACGTTTTTACGTGTAAAGCGTAAGCGTGAGCGTAAATAACAAGCCTGGTGAAGTGGCACCAATCTCTGAATTATACATTTACTAATTTGCTTGAA